TTATTCATCTACACCAGAAAAAAAGGAAAGTCGTATCAACCATCGTGTGGTTACTTCAGGGACAACTATAATATGGGGGCGTCTGGAGCGGGGGGAGGGGGAGGCCATTGTGCTGAAATCTGAGGAGCGCACTCACCCCCACATCGGCCTGTCCCCGGGCCTGTCCCCGGGCCTGCCCCGGGCCTGCCCCGAGTGGCTTCGTCTCTCGCTGTCCCCCCGTGGATAACGGCCGCGCTGGCCTGGCCAGGCCCCTGGGCTCGGGTCACACCGGCGCCGAGGAGGACAGGCTCCCCGCGACCGCCCGCCGACCCGGACCAATGAGGGAGTTGCGTAACGTGACAAATAGCGTAACGAACGGCTCCGGCCTCGTTTCCACCGTTACGTTATGCGTAAAGTAGCCCAACCAACTTCTGTGCTGACGACACGTTCCGTTAGTTTCTAGCTTGAGAAAGTGACGCAGTTGAAAACAGCTTACTTTGGCGGTTCTCTCCTTTTGGTTTTCCTGCCTGCGGCCCAAGAGGGCATGCATGTTACATGATGTAATTGGATGCTTGTGTGGGTGAGGCCACAGGATAATTGTGAAAACGACGTTTGGTGTTGCAGAGCGGCTGCTGGGGCCGAGCACGTGGCGGGAGCAGTGGGTGGTGCTGTACGACGACTCGACGCTGTCCTGGTACAAGGAGAAGGGCCGGCCCTGCCCCGAGGGCTCGGTGCGCGTCCGCGAGTCGCCCGACCTGCTGGCCGTGTCGCAGTACACGCAGCGCATCCCGGACCGGCCCGACCTGCCCAAGGGGAACAAGGTGGCGCAGCTCATCGCCGTAGGCAGCCGCCGGCCCAGCCGCCACAAGGTGCACTGGCTGCTGGCCAAGAGCACCGAGGAGTGCCAGTGAGTACGCACGACCCCACAGCTCTACCCGCCAAGGGAGTTCACGGTGATGAGCTATTTTCCGAATGAAGGGGAAGGGGAGGAATTCAATACGGCGACCTGCCGACGTCTGCTTCCGGACTATAACAAACCGCAAGTCGTTGGCACGGTTTCACGGGTAAAGGATTTTTCAGGTTTCCCCCTTTAAATTAATAAAGGACACTAAAGACTTCTTTTCAGTATTGGCGGGGATACGCGAGCAACCGTGCGCTTGGTCCTGGCTTTGTGATGGTCCGGGAGCGGGCGTCGGCCGGTCACCGTAATGGGTTCCTCCTCTTCTTCTTATTGGGAAAATAGCTCATTTTATGGTGTCTCAAATGTATACGCCTTATAAGGCGTTTGCTACAAAGGACCCAGAGCGACATTCGGCGTCTACTTTTGAGACAAGCTTTTGGGGTGTGGATTCTGGACAGCTTTGCCCCCCTCCCCCATACCATTCCCACATCACAGCAGAGGTCCTTTGATTTACACACCTTGAAAGGCGCTCACGTCCTCTACACCACTGAAGGGTGCTCGCATCCTCATAGAGTCTATGCTCATAGCTGGGGCTGTGATGTGGGCAGAGATGTATTGTAAAGAAGCTTTAAGCCAAAAGCTACCTCAAGAGGAAACGCCGAATGTCACTCTGGATTCTGTAGCAAACGCCTTAAAACGTATACATTTTTTGAGACACCCCCAAATTACAGTGTGGTCAAAATCGCAACAACACTGGAGCGCATGCAAAGAAACAGCCGATGCACGTTCTTGCCTCATTGAACTGAACAGGGTATAACACTCAAAACAGGGCAAACAGTTGAGTTAACCTAAGTAAACGCCCGCACTTTCACTGCTTTGTTTCGAAACGCAATTCCCGTCTCCGCCTGGAACTTGCAGCAGGCCCGCCGCCTGTCGGAGCGAGGGTAGGCCAGCCCGTCGCACGGGCGTGTACGGCGGGCTGGCCTACCCCTGACTACGCAGGCGTTTCGGGCGTTTAATGGTCAGGAAAGGATAGAAAGTTAAATTTGACACGCTTTCTTACTTCTTACGTCTGAAAAGAACTTTAATACGCAACGACTGTGTGGGCTGCCGTCGCCAGTCAAAGCAGACCTGTCCGTCCCAGCAGTCGGCAGCAGTCCCAGTCCCAGCGGAGCGCCGGGCTGGGCGGGCCGGCCCGTCGCGCGGGCGCGTAATGCGGGTTGGCCTACCCCCGACTATGCAGGCGTTCGGGAGGTAGAGGGAATTGCTTCACGGGCGGAGGGAGAGCGCAGCGCAGAAAACGGGGCGCTGGCGCTGGTAACTATCATTTTCTCTGAGGAAAAGGGGGTAAAGTACCAGGAAAGGAGGGGGCATGTAGGAGAGCAAGCCAAAATCGCACGCCTATTGGCGCCGGCACAAGAACAGACACGCCTTTGTTTGTTTTTGTTATTTTACTTTTGAATACCTACTCTTCTATGGTAGTTTCCCGTAGTCCTGTTATCACTATCTTGCAGTCTTTATTTTTTTTATTTTAAGTGGTTTGCAAAGAGGGGAATAGAGAGAAGAGGGGGGCGATCGCGAGAGGGATTGTCGCGCACGTAGCCAGGCTGGTGCTGGGCCGGCGGTTGGAGTCGATAGGCGCCGCCGCCCACTACAAGCCATCTGCGTGTATGAGCCCAGCTCCCCCTGCTCCTCGCCGCCTCGCTCAGACAGAGGAGCGGTGGGGACGGGTTACTGGCCCACCAGTACTCTGAACCCAGCCCTCCCCTTCCCTCCCAGACAGATGGTCCTCCGCCCCCCTCCCCCGATTCCCTCTTCCCCATCCCGCCCCTCTCTTATTCATCTACATGTACACTGGTGCACCAGAAAAAAAAGGAAAGTCGTATCAACCATCGTGTGGCTACTTCAGGGACAACTATAATATGGTTAAAAAAAATAAAAGTCCTACAGTTGTCGGAACTATACTCTCGTTTTCAGAACAATTTTAACGTTACATCGACCATCACTTTATGGTTGTCCCTGAAGTAACCATACGATGGCTGTGACAACTTTTCATTTTTCTAGGTGCACTCTACCGACGCGCGCCCACGACTCGCGAGTACTTATTTTCTTGCCATTTTGATGCGATGGTGCGAGGCAGCTGTCGGTGCTGCCCCGGGGACTAGCGGGGACCGGCTGGGACCGGCTGGGACCGGCGGGTACCGCCGGGGACCGGGCCATGGCTGAGTGAGTAATCCCTCACAAAAACGTCACATCAATATTGATGGGGTGGGGCGGGAATTGAACCACTGGATCAGAGAGGAGGGACAGAGAGAGAGAGAGAGAGATGGTGAGAGAAGGAGAGGCAACGAAGGAGACGGGAGGGGGAAGCGGAACAGTCCAACCCGATCCGTTACCCCTTCTGGTCCGGGCTGTCAGTCGCCTGGACTGGGTTGGGTTAGCCTGGCTGGACTAGGCGAGGGGTCGGGGCGAAAGAGAAGGCAAAGGCCGAAACCAAGCAGGCAGGAAAGGGTAGAGATGGGGGGGGGGGCAAGGGCGAAACACGGAGCAGGAGGCAGGGGATGGGGAGGGGGAGGGTGGTCGGTCGGAAGGAGATGTGCAGATTGCGCACATCACAAGAAGGGGAGGGCCCGTTCCCCCGTTCCCCTCCATTGGCCATGGCGTGCCCGTGTGGCCCGGCCCGGCCCCGCCCGGCCCCGCCAGCCAGCTCTGACAGGATCTTCTCCACTATTGATTTTCTCCCGTGCACATACTGCTGAGTTGCGGATTTCTGCCTGCCTGGCCCGCGGCGGCCCGTCCCGGCCCCGGCCCGCCTCTGTCCCGGCCGTCCGGTCGGATCCGCGGGCGACTTGTAGCGTGGCGTGAGCGTGGCGGTGTGACAAAGGCGGCCCGTAGTCCCGCGCGGCCGTCCCGGGGGGACGGCTCAGGCTCGGGTCCGAGGACCGCTGCGTAGACGGTTAGCGAGCTGCCGCCATGCTGCCGCCAGGGCGCCCCGCCCGCGCGCGTGCTGGAGATGGCTCCTCCAGCAACTCCCTGCCCCTCCAGCACGGCGGAGCACGGCGGAGCACGGCCCCTTCCAGCCCCCACCTCAACGACTGGCACAAAGGGCTGACAAGTGTCTTGGGGACGCCCCCCCCCCGTCCTCCCCGTCTAGTCTCCCCGCTCGGCGACAAGTGGCAGTTAGAATGCAGGCTGAGATATGACACGCCGCGGGGCGGGGCGAGGCAAGGTACGACCTGCGAGGGACAAGGTTGGGGCAAACACGTGTTTTTGGTCCGGGTCAAGGGTGATCTCTCGGATATGATGCGCTGCAAAATTCAGAGATGCGCAATAGTGCTTCGCTGTCAGTCCGGGTGGAAAAACAACAACAACAACAACAACAACAACAACAACAAAACTGACACAGCATCTGACAGCCGAGCGGACGACTGGCGTGCGATGGGGTGGAGCAACGTTTTCTTGATCCCTTAGCGGATCCCATAAATATACGACTGGACGAGGAGTGGGGGGGACAAGTTCGCAGCTTCGTTGGTGCCGAGCCCGCCCAACTAATTTACAATCTTCCTCTTTGGCTGCGACTGGACTAGTGAGTGGATGACAGCCATCAGCCGCACGGTAAGTTGGTACTTCCTGGAAGAAGCAGTAGAGCTCTGTTTACGTAACCAAACGCATTTGTATTTTGAAATAAAAATTAGAGCAGCTACGCTAGCCTTCACCTTTACTGTTTGGGGGTTGGCCCTAGAGAGTGGGAGGGGTGCTTGTTAGTTTCAGTTTATTAGGATTAGGAGTGGGCGTCTTAACGTCGTGACGTCCTTTAGGTGTAGTACAGCACACTTTGCAAAGTAATGATAGGAATTTGCACAACAGTTGTGTTCGTATCATAACAACGACCCATAGACACTATAACTTAGCGCCTTTCAGGAGTTGCAATGCTTATGTTTACTCCAAAGCACTAAATCCTACCTTTCACGATGCTAGAGCACTAAGGCGCCTTAATTAATACTGATTACATTTAGCAGAGTGTACTAATCACATACTAATCTCTAATAAGCTTCCACAGCTCCCTCCGCTGCCACCGCCAAAGGTCGAGAGCAACGGCAACGCGGCCCCCACCAACGGCGCCATCAACGACGAGAAGGACATGAAGTCAGGTGAGCATGTGTCCTGCCCTGGGAGCCAGCACGCTGCTAGCCCTGCTAGCGCGGTGGCGCTGACGAGCGTGTGGCGCTGTGTTGCAGAGGGCACGGTGGACCTGCCCGCGGGGCTGCTGGCGGGGGCGGGCGTGTCTCAGGCGTGGGGCGGCTGGGGCCACGGCGGCGGCTGGGCGGTGGGGGTGGGACTGTGCAGCCACAGCCACCACATGTCCCACATGCACGTCCACCAGCACGCGCCCACGCCGCACGGCCACGCCAGCGCGCACGTCTACGACCACCACCCGGCCTCGGCGACGGCGTACCACCACGACTGCTCTTCCTCGGCCATGGACAGCCTCGGACACCACGACGTGGACCTTGGCGACCTCGACCTGGGTGGCCTCGACTGTCTGGCCGACTTCAGCTTCTAGGGTCGCGGGCGCTGCGACACGCTGCCGGAGATGACAAGCGAGCCGGGAGGAGTCGGTTCGATTTCTGAATTATCTTAGAACCCGCTCAGGTGGTCCCTTTCTCTAACGACGTAGGTTGCTGAAAATACCCGCATATATCTTTGTTCCTACTCTCCAACACAGCAGCTTCGTTCTTACTGTATCCCCGGGG